ATATAAAATGAAAACGTATATTGTTGCGTTATACATGTTATCAAAAGAATATTACAATATGATGATAAATGTTTAATGATAAAAACATCCTTTGTGTTCCTTCTTCCAAAAGCTGGTAGTTTACCTGTATCACTGATTCCCTGAGAAATACAAGTGGTTTTGAAAAGTGTCAACAATTAAGTTGGTGAGTTCATGAGTGTTCCGAGTTGAAAAGTATATCCCTTTTGGTAGTAAATTGGTAAACGAGGTTTTTAGAAAATCCAATATTTTCTTGTAAAATGAAAAAGGTTCCAAAGTTGGAATGTGTTAGTAACTTTTATAAACAAATGATAACAATAATTTAGTATGAAAATATAATGTAGGAAACTGCGATGCACATATGAATCTCGTAAATCAATCTTGTTTTATACTTTTTATGTGAGTTTTATAACCATACTATTGACACTGACGGCCTGTAACAACATTCTTCAAGTGTTGCAGTGTTATGACATTTGTCACCCCAGACCTGCCGGTCTAACTATAGCTAGTAGTTTAGGTGCGGGATTGTCAATCCCGTATAGATCTATACACAAGTATCACGCTCTCCCTCCAAGAGATTATGGTATATAATACAGGACTTGAAATGCATACAAAAATGTACGTTGAAGTTTAAATATCTCACATTACCTAGTATAAGTAGATTTACAATGAAATGACCTTACTTCTTTTGAAAGTGTTTCGTTTTTCAAATTGTATAAAATGTAGGATTGACTTGCTAACTATACCCATTATAGTTTTTCAGATAGTATGTTCCATTTCGTAGAAATAACTTAGTGATATAATCGCCCTTGTATACATAAGATGTTTGTATCGATATTCGAAGTTAGAAATTGCATTTATGTTTATAAAACGATACTTTTAACGTGTAATGTACTTGTATTTCCCCCCTAAAACATGAAAAAGAATTGAAAAGTAGGGGTATGAACTCACTCGTTAAGTTTGAAGAGAGGGACTAGAGTTGAGCAGAGTTTCGATCGCGGATAGTTGCGTCGTCGGGCTCTTCGGGGATCTCTGCAACGTAAATCTTTCGTCGGGGGCTCGAGTGCGGAAACCAAGGCAATGAAATGGTCTCTGGAACAGGGAGAAATGCTGAGAAATTGTGAAGGTGTGCAAAACTCGAGTTTTATGCCCTCTATTTATAGGGCTGAAAACCCTCGTACGCGGCGCGTACTTCCGGAGTACGCGGGGCGTAGTCAGTTACGCGGGGCGTACTTCGGTTACGCGGGCGTAATAATGCGTCATGGCTTACGACTCCTGGCTAACTAGGCGTAGCTTGGGCGGGCCGATGAGACTCGACTCTGGGTCTAGTACGCGGGGCGTACTCCTAGAGTACGCGGGGCGTAATCCCTGCTTCCAACTTCTAAATTCCGTAACTTTCGCGTACGAGCTCCGTTTTTCGCGTTCTTTATATCCACGCGTAGGTGAGATTATGCTCTACAACTTTCATTTAGACTCCGTCGGCTAGTTTTGACTTTATTTTTAATGATATAATTTTAATAGGCCGGGCCTCCTAAAGTTCGTTAAAATTTCATAGGTTCTTTATTCGACGTCGGTTTTCGTTTGTCTTTTGATTGTTTTATTACCACCGAGGAGATCTTCAACTTCCGTTTAGGTGGCGATAGTTAAATAACACTCGATCTTTAATCCGAGTTTTTAGCCCTCTACTACTGTTACGAAACTTTGAAAATTCGTAACTTCTTCATACGAGTTCCAATTTGGGCGATCTTTTATGCACGCTCATCTTTCAACGTGATCTTCGACTTTTGTTTATACTTTAAGGCTAGAATGCATTTTATTGAGATTCCACTTTTTACGTCAAATAATGTTTTAACGTCGTGTCGTAAATATACGAGTGGTTATAATTTCTTCAATATAACTCGGTTTTGAGCGTTCTTTATGTTTTTGGAAACCTGGGCATGATATCTAATATTTGATGCATCCCAACTTAGATACTTGAACACTTTATTTTTGAGGTTAATTTTGTTGTTTTTAGCTTTCGAGTGTTTACAATGCTTTTGGGAAAAATAGGGTTGTCACAGATCCATTATGTAAAAATATATCATTTATGTTTCATGATAACATATTCGATTCAAAAGAACACAAAATACAGAATATATTGTGTATCAGCAAATAATTTTTTTGAGAGTATAGATTTTGTGTTTCACATTTATGACTTAGAGTTTAAGGTTTGGTGTTTAGTAAAAATAAGTTATTTAATCCAATATAATTTAGCATTGTAACAAAATAAACATAGAATTATGTCAAATATGCTCATTTTTAATATTTTAATATTGTATCATCTTATTAGAAAATGGTGATAGTTTTTAAATTTGAATATTAAGTCATTTTGTTTTTTTAAATTAAAAAGCATACTTTTTATTTAATATTACTGTTCAATTTGGTTTTAATAGTAGTAAATTGCATATATATATATATATATATATATATATATATATATATATATATATATATATATATATATATATATATGAAGTTTATGTTCTCTAATCTCTACTTTCATCGTTAACTTGTTATTCGATATTTTTAGTTATTAAAGAATTAATACTTTAGATATATCTCATGTTTTTTAATTATTTGGAAAATATACCATAGTATTAAATGGTCTGATAACTATTTCTATAATTATGATTTTGAAAATAGTATTAAAACATTTTTTATCAAACCCAATGAAACTAATTCTAAAGGAACTTCAAATGCTTACTCAATATTACTTGTTAGAATAAAAAAATAAACAAAAATTTGTCATCATAAATTAACATTAAAAAATACTTTAGATTTGTAAAACATTAATAATTAATCAACATTACTATGAGAATCTACAAAATACAAAATAAAAAAATAAACATAATCCTCATTTTATCTTCAAAATCAAAATTCAATGAACAGAATGAAGATAGGGTTACATTGAGTTCACAAATCAAAACCCTTTCACTTTGGTTCTCAATTATTTGACCATCAGATTTTGTCAAACTAAAAAATTAGTCAATGTCATGGTTTTTACTCCAATTCCTTTGACATCAGGAATTTATGAATAAAATTTGTCAGCCTGGTACTCTAAGTTGCTCTGCAGAAAGTATAAATACAAGCAATAGAAAAAAAACACCAAAATAAATCAAAAGTAGACAATTCCTCTGCTTGTTCTTAAGGTTTGATCTTCAACTATTTGAAAATCCCAGGGAGATCTATAGAGTTGTTAAAGTTGGGTCAATATAACAGATGAAATTGGGACAAGGACAATATCGTCCAAATGAGGAAAGCCAACAAACTTGCGTGTAGAGTAACCTAAAACCAACCAAAACAACATAGATTGTAGTTTAGCATCTTTTAACAATCAATAATGCAATAAGCAGTGAACAGGCGATGGAAGTTACCTATGACCATTCCGAGGGTAAAATGGTCCAAATTTCCCCTTAATGACCGGACCATGAAGCCAAAAGCCAGAGGCCAAATTGTCAATCCTTTCACCATTTAATCCATTGGGCTTATTGTTGGTTACAAGAACTTGGATAACTTGGAAATATTACAATTACCACACCTGTCGATAAAAGATCTACAAACTAATCAACAGGTTTTCCAAAATAAACATTATATTTGTAATTAAAAATGAAAAACAAATATGAATTTGTGAAAGCACAAAGAAACAAAGTAAAAAAAGAGTTCAAAACCACCTGATAGAATATATGTGGTAACACAAATTTTTTTTCTTAAAAAGAACTCTAGATATTATAAAAGGTATTATGTTATGATCCCACATCGGTCGAAAGTACTATAAGTTGGTGGCTTATAAGTCTAAGTGTCCCCTCCTCCTACAAGCTGGCTTTTGGGAGTGAGTTCTACACTTGGGCTTATGGCATGATACGAGCCTAGTATGGGATGGGTTCGTATCAATTGGTATCAGAGTCGTCCCCATCTTTCGAGGTGCCAACACTTGGAGTGGTGGCCTACGGAGTGGTGGCTTGGACCAAAAAGGGGGTGCCAACCGTGACCAACGTAGCCGTGACCAACAATGACTCGGAGTGGTGGCTTGGACCAAAAGGGGGTGCCAACTGTGACCAACGAGGACGTTGGCTCTTCAAAGCGTGGGGTATTGTTATGATCCCACATCGGTCGAAAGTACTATAAGTTGGTGGCTTATAAGTCTAAGTGTCCCCTCCTCCTACAAGCTGGCTTTTGGGAGTGAGTTCTACACTTGGGCTTATGGCATGATACGGGCCTAGTATGGGATGGGTTCGTATCATATTATTCATGTGCAATGGAAAACAGAAAATTACTAATATAGATAAGAAAAAAAAACGTAACTATATATTATTTTTCATCCAATTTGAACCAAGTAAGTAGCTTTCTTTTTTCGAAATCGAATGAGGTGGATCCAACATTGCTACCAAAAACCGTTCTTGAACCACAATGGATAAAAAAACAATAAAAACATGTGGATGTTACTGTTATTGAATTCAACTTTAATGAAGAGAAGATACCATTTCATAATAGATTTTCCGAAGCATGTGTGGGTACTAAGGAGGTTTATAAAAAAACCCCAAATCTTCTGGATATCATACTACTTCCAATCCCGAAATCAACAAATCTGCAAGGAAAATAAATATTTTGGTTACATTAGGTCTGATTCATGATGAGAATGATATATCAAATCATCAAACATAAAATGTAAAACATTGAAGATGTTTTGGGATTAAATCTTTGTGAGAGAGAATCATTGAGACGTAGATTTTCAATAATATGGTTCAATTATTACAAAAGATGAAACAACAATAACCGGTAGGGGTAAACACAATACCTTAACCTTCTTTGTGTCAAATATCATATCAAAAAGAGACTAATAGAGTGAATAAAAGGAGAATCACAAAATTATTTTTGATAAGCTAATAAATATACATACATGTTTTAATGAGCATATCTTATTCTCAAACTCCTGACCCCAAAAATTAGCCACATGTGGGAAGATCCTGTTTTCGCTCACCACTACACACCACCTACACAAAAGATTGCAAATGATTTACCTAAAATTATAGTTTAGAAAAGAAATAATTGACAAAAAAAAAAGGTTAAGACGTATACTCAGTTGAAGATAGCACCATGAAACAAAAAACTTGAGCTTTTAATGCTTCTTCTTGAAAATGTGATTTCATATATAAAATAATAAACCCAAAACAATTGTCAATATAAATTTATATGTTTATAACCTGATGATATCCATTTGTGCCTATGCGAGAGACAAAACCTGGCCAAATCTGAAATAATAACTCCAAAATAGTTGTTAATTCCTATGCCAAGAACGCATGATCTCATGTTTAAGTCCATGCATCCGTTTAATGTACTCCTGCTGCCTAACAATCTTGAATCCTCCTTCCTTCAACTTTTGAGAATCATTCAATTCATCAGACTGGATATTTGATGATAGTTCTCCACTTGCTGATAAAATTTAGAAAATGTTACTTCCAGGAGTAGGGTTGGTAGAAACGGAGATAAGTTAGTAATACACCATACCCTTTCTGCCTTTTATGGTTTTTCTTGAAAACTATAATGGAAAAAGATCCAGGTTATAACTTGCAAAAGCTACTAACAAAATTGTTTAACTTTTCTTATGCTTTGATTATGATTTGTGTGTATCATGATGTTTATAAGACTTACCGAACAAACTGAAATCATTTTTGGGATAGGAAATCTCTGCATTAGTAGCTTATTAAAGGATGTCCACTCCTTCTTTGAAGAGAGATGAGAGGTTGGTTGGGTAGCAGGAAGCTTTTCTACAACTGCCGTATTTTCAACTGGCTCTAAGGTTTCTGTTGATAGCCCCCTTAATGGATCAAAGAATTCGGTGCTCCCATCATCCTGCCATAGAAAATTATTAAAACTTTTGTACTGCACAAATATCAAAATGAAACTCCTAGCAATTGGAGATATTTCCATTCAAATTTCAATCAAAAAGGAAAGTATCTAACAACCAATCAAAGAAAAGGACGACAATCATACCTGCGTATGTGATAAGGACGAAGATGGGGACGACCAAAGAGGATGCGAAGAAACCGAAATTCGGGTAAGTGAATAGACTTTTTCTTCGGCTCTATAATCATGCGTTTTGAATTCCAT